TAAATAAAATTTCATCACACTGGGATACAACTAAATTTTTATTAATCCAATACTGATACCAATTATCAAATTCTACTAGATAAAAGTATTATTGCATTGAGAAAATCAGTAAAATATTACAGGATGGTTCACGAGTACAAAATATTAATGGTTAATGGAAAAGAACGCGTGATAAAACCAGTATTAGAAAATAATATGTTTTATTTACTTTATTATTTATCAAGTGAAGAGTTCTTAATACTTTGTCTATTGGACATGGCGGGAAAAATCGTATGGTTGCGGAAATAAAAAATAAGTATTGCAATATAACTAAAGAATCAATTATGCTATATTTACAATTTTGTTTGCACTATCAAAATAAATCTACTAATGGAAAAATGAGACTGGTTTCTAAGCCAATATTGTACAATTTTTATAACTCGAATGCACAAGTAGATTTAATAGATATGTAATCCCAACGTTTTAACGATTTTTTGTTATCAAGACCATTTAACAAAATTTGTAATTTTAAGGCCGGTAGAAAATTTAACTTGGAGAGAAGTGCATATAATTTACTTTACATCTAAACAACCTTTGGTGCTCCAGCTATTTTGCAATCAGATAATGGTCGTGAATTTGAAAACTCAACTATAATTGAACTCCACAATATGTGGGGAGACGTCAAAATTGTTTATGGTAAACCGAGGCATAGCCAGAGCTTATTTTTTGTGAAACGAGGAAATAGACTTTTCGAGATATGCTGGCAACACATATGACAGAAAACAATAGTGTAAATTGGCCATTTAGGTTGAAAATAATTCAATTTCAGAAAAACCGAGTTCTTTGTTTAGGTAAAAAAATGTATACATAATCACTAAACATTTATTGAATCAATAATGAGCTAATGGTCTCTTAAACATGATTTAGTGACCCATGATTGGTCCATTACATTTTATTGAACCATTAAATTAATTTTTCATGCAAATCGGCATAAATATTTTAATATACTATTATGGTATTTTCTGATAACTAAAAAAATAGTTTTAGTTACAAATACAAGAAAAAGTGAAACATGTTTAGTTTTCTGAAAGTTTCCAATGAAAATACAAATGCCATGAATTTCCAATTAACGAGCAAACACAAAATAAACGGCATAAATCAAGTAAATGCTTAAAAAAACAAGCTAAAAAAAAAATGATGACAAATTCATGTAAGAGATTTAGTTTATTAGAAGTTGGTATCACAGTGATTAAGGTATTAATATACCTGATGATGTTGATCGAGCACATGAATTACCACGAAATCTATTAGCAGGGTTTATTATCAAGGTTGAATAAAATTTAGATAAATTGGGTGCTTATAAATTATAATTAAATTTTTAAATATATTTATTTTAAATTATAAATGCTTGATTTTAATTAAGTACAGATAATGACATACTTCAAAATTTGTATACTCGATTGCAGATCGATCCTGGCAAACAATTTTTGCTGACTTGGAATCTGTGAATAATGAAAAGATTAAAAAGGAAATTATGCTGAGAGAAGCTATTAGATGTAGGAGTGTCACTAAGTCATAAGATTACAAAATGTGCGGTTACAAATTAAGTACATATTAAGTGCAAATCAAACAAATTTAATTGTTGATTAGCGGGAATATTGTGTAACTTCAAATGCCACAACAAAAATAAATAATAAATCATAAATATAATTTAATTTAATAATAAGATGAATAATTATATAACTGTAATTAATTAAATTAATGTGTATTTTCAGTCACTTAGTAATTAACATTCAGTCAATGGTAACTACGTTAATATTCGGTCAATGAGGTAAAATTGTTTTATTTTGTTTTATATTTACAACACTAAACGATTATTTTGAAAATTGACGTTATTGTACTGTAGTTTACGCAAATAACCTAGCAATTTGGCTACGTATAAATGTTCAGTTTTCGTTATTGATTGTAACATATATAACAGCTTTTACACCAATACAGGTATTAGTAATTATTATTATTATTATCATCGTTTGGAAAATTTACACCTGGAATCTTCAAGTAAATATCATAAAATATTAAATGTTTAACTTGTTAAAATAGATAGGTATTTATTATTTATTTACAATTAAGCACGTCTTGCAATGTATTTTTTTGTTAATTTACTATACTTACTTTATCTACAGTAAATATTTCACTCTTTAAATAAAATGAAATTGTATACCTACTGTAAACATAACTTATCGTACATGTTAGCAATAATATGCTATCTACTATAATGTAAACTATTATTTCTAGTATATTATGCTAAATATATACTATATCTACTTTAAATGATATCAAAATAAAATTATACAAAAATTGTAATAATTAGAGTACTAGTTAATAATAATAATTATTATTACTATTAAAGTACAATATTTAATTAAAGAATAATAATTACCATTCTTCTATACTTCCTTGCATAGTATTATAACTTAAAGTTATAGTACTATGCAAGATTGCAGATGTGTACTGGTATATTTTTAAATTTCGTGAGTGAATTTAAATGATCAACTTCTTAATATTGATTTTCAGGATAGTGAATTCTGACACTAAGAGCGGAGATGATAATGCGTTGAATTCACGGTTGTTATATAATTGTAAAATCGCCAAATTGATTGGATATTTTAATTGATTGGGCTATGGCATGATAGGTCAAAAGACACAATAGTAAAAAGTTTATTTTATAAATCTATTAGCCAATAAAGTATTTAAGTATTTTATGTATTAATAAGTTTGTTTTAATTTTTCATCTACTTAAATGGGTCATAGTTATAATGACTGTTCCACTGTAAACTGACTAAAGTTTAAAAGTTTAATCGTTTACCAGCAAATAGGTGTCCTGATGTACCAACTTTTGGCTTTAAGGCAATTTGATAAAATTAAAGGAATAATCAAAAACAATTAAACAGCTTACTCGTATAATTTTACCCAAACGATTTTAAAGTAATAATTACTAACTTGTAAGTTGCAAATTCTATAATAGTAATTTTAATACTTATATAATTACACCTACGCAGGTATCTAACACCTACCTTACTGCAGTTTGTACCTATTTTATACCCATCCTGACAGACACTAACTAATAGCTTACACTATTTAACTTCAAAGTTTAAATATATATTTAATTGATTATTTTTAGGAGATGTATGTTAAACATTTTAGTTGAATTAATTAGTGCTGTTCTTAAATATTTAAAAACTGTTATTTTAATATTTGTAACTAAAGGTTTAAAAAAAAATTATGAATCATAGTTTTGAATATATTTTTTAATACACACTTAATAGTTTATACAGTAAACAGTAAGAACTAAGGATACATGATCATATTAATAGGTATTAGATTCATTCAATTATGACTATTTTAAAAAGTTTTGACTATATATTTTATCAAATAAAATATTAATATTTACAGTAAAATAAGCAATACTTTGTCGGTTGTACTGAAATAAACTTATTTCACTAAAATTCAAATTTTATAATAGCAGTTTTAATGCTTAAAGTTATAAGTTATGACTTATTAACAGTTATTAATTATACTTTTTCGATTATGTTCACTGTATTGTATACATTTCTTTATTTCTATTTATGTTTCTACAATTAATAAATATATAGGTAGTTTAAACTAGTATATAATACTCATTTACTTGTAGGTATTTACATAATATGATGTAGTATTTAAGTTTATAAATATTATATATAACTATATAAATTATTATTAGTTATACATGCATTATAAATTTATAAATATTACATGATATAAATTATTCATTTAACCTTAATTAATTTTATTTTTTTATAAATACAATAAAAAAAAATAACAGTTATAATCGATATATTATTATTTATTATGATACATTTAATAATCAAGACTTGGTGCGTATTAAAATATACACCATATTATTTGAGATTGGAATTTTCATACGTATCTTTTTATTATCATTAAAATTTGCAACGAGTATCAAAGTATACGAGTTCATATAAAAACAATGATACGTTTATTTGTAATTCATTTTTTGACATTATTTAATGCAGCATTTCAACATTACGTTTTTATTGACTTAAATTTTACTTTTAATCAGACATCAGTGAACTTCATTAATTTGATGGTAATTTAACTAACTTTATACGATTCGCAACTCATTGTTAAATTATTTTGTATAGTAAAAAAAAAAAAAAAAAAAATGATTCACAGTTCATAGACTTATGGTACATACACACCTAAAATTTAAACTTAAATAAAATACTTATTCATTTTTTTAAAATTTTAACTATACAAATTTAAAAGGATTAAAAAGAAAACAATAAACTTACAACTATTTTTATTAAACATATAAACTTATTACAATATTGTAATGTTTTGAAACATGAAACTTTATTATTTTCACAGTGTATTTATGCTACAATAAATTGTTTTGCTTGAAGTATAGTCAAATCAAAGTCCTGATTAAATATTACGAGTTAAAAGTTGTCTTTAGCGAGCACAAAGTAGCGAGATCGATTATGTTAGAATACGTAACATACTGATCAAATATTACTGTACTACATAATCTTATATAGATTATGCCTTTTAAGTTTCTCTATCAAATATTTTAATGGAACACATATTTCGGTTTAAGTGTACCTTGGTTCACGGGCCAATTGGCATCAGTATCTCATTTTGTTAATTAATTCGATAGAGATGGGCGATCTAACCTGCTTGTAGTAAATTTGATATAGCGAAATAGTATATTTTCAAACGTGGTTCTAATTACTCTCAAAACTTTCATATATCTCTATGAAATTAATCTCTATAATTTTCTTCAAATTTGAACGAGTAGTTTTTGAGTAATAAGTTAATATATATATAATGTAATGTATGAGATATAAACATATACGCCTTATGTTGTAAAATTGAATAACAAGCAATTAGTTAAATATTATTTTCCTTTATTTAAAAAATCCCGTAGCAACATATACTTATTAGTTGACTTAATTATATCAATTTTTTTAAGTGTTATTTCTGTAACCAATGGTTATTTTATATATACCTAAACAAAAAAAATTATTCGATTGTGAGTCAAGCTCGTAGAGTGTGCTTTATTCAACTTGATAAATATGTTTTAATATAATCACTCCCTTAAGAGTTTTTACGAATACCACGCTTACTGCATAATTAATCACGCATAAGTTGAACATTTTTATAGGTATAATATAAGTGATAAAATAGATATGAAAAATATAAGAAAATATCGATTATATTGTATGAGAGGTATAATGTTGATGGAAAAAAAGTGGGTAACGTCCTAAAGATTCTAACATCGTCGACAACCACTCAGTATGAATGTATAGTTAGAGTCGAGTAATTTTTAGGGTTAGGGTAATACGGGATTATTCAAAATGATTCATCCGATTCAAAATGCATTATATATTTTAAGTTTTTCGGTTGGTTCAGAATAATGTAATAGGTATGTGCGATATATTAAATATAAAATAATAATGTTTCAAATATTTATTTAATGGTAGATATCTATATATATATATATATATATATATATTCCATGTGGATATTCCCATGAACGTGTGACCGAATAACATAATTTGGTCGGAACTCAAATTCTTTTCACTCACATCCGTCGTGGTAATCGACCGCCATTTGCTTAGTTCCTCTGCGGCGGTCCGCAGTGTAACGATGGTACGTACCGTACTGACTATAAGGTTTATCCTGTTCACGGTATACGTAGTACCATTGAGTATATGCAGTATACTATATATATATACTCAATGGTAGTACACATCGCGGTATACCCGAATTCAACCATAGATATCCCCCCCCCCCCAAAAAAAAAAAACAAACCGTAGTCACACGACCCGAGATCGGGCGCTGTGACCCGGGAAAACTGAGCGAAGTGCATCGGATGATTCATTTTCAATAACCCCGCGGCTGTATTGCGATTGGGAAGAAGTCGCGGCGGTTGGCGAAGGGCATTTCGAATTCGCGCGCGTCCGCACTTAAGACGACGTCAGGTCGTCCGCCGATTCGTCGTCGCTCGTACAACAACTCCGGCTGTTGGTCGAGTCCGAGGACAGGTTGTGCCGGTTGAGCGGATGATAGTGATGGTGGTGATGGTGCTGCTTTTGCTGTCTCTGGTGTTGGTGCGCGGACGACGAGGTGCGCCGCCGGCGTCTGGGCGGCGGAGGCCGTTGATTGTTGGGGCCCGCGACGTCCGCGCTGCCAACACTGCCGCCGCTGCTCAGCGTCGGCGTGGCGGGCGGCTGATGGCCGACGCCGCCGGTGGACGTGGTCGACGGGCCGACTGCGACGCTCACCTGATGGTAGCCCGACTGCATGTCGTCCTCGTCGCCGCCAGCACCGCCGCTCTGCACCGACATGGACCGCATCCGGCGCCGACCGCACCGCAACTGATCCCGGTCGCCGGAACCATTGATGGAGTCCAGCCGCACGCTGTTCGGGTCGGCCTGTGTCCAAACACGCGCGATCAGCAGACATTTAATAACTCAATGAATGTCCGTATCGTCGTTGACACGAAAAGCTTACGCGTGGTAATACCGAATTTTTCAGTAAGTACTCACAAAAAACGTAGAAACGCTTTAAAGCCATATGTAAATCAATTTTTCGTTGTTCGAAAAAAAATCAAATCAAAATTTAATTCTTTGAAAAAAAAATATTGTATACTAGTATAATACTATATAGTATTATATTATAGTGAATGGGGTTTTATTGTTTTGTATTTTTTGTCAAGCTTGCATAAGAGTTTTTTTTAAACTAGAGTTGGTGTCAAGTGTTGTAAATTTTTAATCACATAGAATGAGTATTTCATAGAGACGGTCATTATGGAACAATTAATGTAAAGGTGGATCTATTTTATTATTTTTCTTTAATTCCACGACAAAATACGCATAGGAGATAAATATTAAATGATAGCTTATTTTCTTTTAAATTCAGGGACGCCAAAACTTTAAAATCGTAAATTTGACGCGCTGCTGGACGTTTTTTCGTGTAAACGACGACATATTATTGCTATGTTTATAAAGTAAACGTTTCAAGAGTATCGTAACACTATATCTATACATAAGATTAAATCTATGCAGTAGATAAGTGGATAGCAGTAGATAGCGATAAGTGATAACTACTAATTATAACTACTAACTACTAATAAGAAATATTACAAAACCTGATTTTTGAAGACGAACTTAACTTATGAAAAATTCTAAAAGCTTTTATATATATTTTAATTATCATGTATACACCGTTTATATATATATATATATTAAAATTATAACGAATAATACGAATAAAAATAACAAAAATTCCGTTTTATTTTTTTCATCAAATTCATTAGAAATTGTTATTTCATTGGTATAATTTTTAATAAGTATTCAGTTCGGTTTAAAAATCGAATAGTTTGCGTAACAAAGTAATAATAATATAGTGATGGTATTATAATAACCCATCGTTTTAATATTATATTTAGAGTCCGTGGATTTATTAATATTTACTATTGAAATAATATTAGTTTATTTAATTTTTATCGGTTTAAATATTTAAAGCTTAAATGAATGGATTTATTAGTGTATATATTCACAGTTCTCATTTCATCGGTGGCCGTCGCCGCTATAATTTACTCCTCTCACAATGTAAATTTTAAATACGTTTATGAATAATAAAAGAATAATAATTTATTAATGCTTCAATAATATTTGGTATTCACTCGTCGGCATTTTAATAACAAAAGTGTTTTGAACTACCCACTTCACTCAACAAGCTTTAAATAAAGGTATTTATGTCCATTTTTCCGTGTATTGATTGTTGAAAATACCTGATAAGCAAGCGCCGACAATAGGTCCCGGTCAGGAACCACGCCTAGCGGCATGATTTCTTCTAAAATTACACTCGCCGCGATCTTGTGGTACTGAATGATGGGCGCAAAGTGTTCCCGAAACAGAGAACGCCAATCTGCATCTTCGGAATCGGCTTTGTTGTTGTCAGCAGCGTCAGCGGCAAATTTCTTCGCCCACATCAGCGCGGCCTGCATGACCCCCGAGAATTATGTTAGTATAAATGAGTTAGTACACAGTTAATATATTAGACGCAGTTTTGTAACTAGAAAATCTCCATGACATAGACTTGTCACTCATAATAATACATTATATATCATTATCGATAAGTATTATTCATGATAAAATTATACCCACAAAATATTATATATTTGGATTTAAGATTTCGGTATTCACATATCAGATAGATTTATATTGGCTGTGTTTAATGGAGGTTAGATCTCGTACGTTGCGACAGTTCGGTTCATTTCGAAATTTTGTAAAATTTTTGCACCGATATTTATCATGCCATTAACTCGAATTTTCAAGACTGGCGGCAGAATTCGCACAACGCTTTTTTGTGGCTAAAAATTTGTTTTTGTTTTCCTTCCCAGTCGTTGCGCCGGCCCGACCCATAATAGAAATGTCGCGATATTTGCGATTTTTGTATTTTATTTTAAGAATACCAATAATTTAGTGTCTTTTTCCATTAAAATTTTTTATTATACTGTTAAGAGTGATATAATTTTTTTGTACACCCCATCACAAATTTTAAATGGTAATAAATGATATATTACTTCACGTATAGTATAAAAATGTTTTTTATTACCAAATACCAATTGTGATGTTAACTTATGGATTATAAGTTAAACCATACCAGTACATTACCTAATGTATAATATTCACCTGGAATTTTGTCAGTTCATTAGCTCGTAACTCGTCCCGTGACAATATAAGTCGGACCACGTGTTGCGGCAATAATGTGAATGATCCAAGTGTGAGTACGCGTTCGCCATTTACGTCTACAAACTCGAGCACCTTTAGAATTTTTAATGAATCTCATAATTTCGTTAAAATTTATTTTATTTCAATTTTTTTTACACATATATACAACTTGCAAAGTAAATGTATTTAATTAATAATTAATATTATTTATTTACAGCATTGCAGTATAAATTAAAAACGTTCAAAACATTTTTGCAAATCAACACCAAAACAACGCATAAAAATCCATCAACACAATATATTACCTCATTACAAAATAAAAAATATATATTGTCGTAAAAACGTTACTCTTTACAATCCATATTTATAAAAATGAGTGACCAAACATAAAGCTATTCATTAATTCTCTATATTTGTGTATTTCAAATACGTGATTTTCATGAATTAAGAATTAAAATAATTTGTTTAAAGTTTATCAAATGATCAATTCGATTACGCGATATTTTTTTCCGAGTATAAAGGAAAAGTTACGAAACATGAATAACGACATTATACGCACTACTCAGTATTTATTTTGAAAAGTAAAATTTTAGGTTTAAGTCTTAAGATTAAATTATAATATTAGGCTAGGTACTTCAGTTTATGTAAAAAAAATATCGAGGGGAAAGAGTATTAAGTATCATCGTTATTTTATAATTAAATATTCATCAAATTTATATTAATAACTAAATAAATAAATGATAATACATGAACACACCACATTTATGCAAAGGTGAGCAAAGTGAGACGAGTGTCCAACACCAGGTTTTAGTAACTTATCTGCTTTTTAAATATTCCATTAAAAAAAAAAAAAAATCAATAATTTTTCTGGTTTCTATAGCATATATATTAATTATTTAAATATGTTTATAGTGTTAATTTTTTTTTATTAATTTATATGAATTAAATTTTAAAACGTTTGATTTATCATGCATATACATATTTATTAAAACAATATAAAATCTGAGCTCTGTCAATGACGTTTTCATTTTTAAAATTTAAAATCACTACGCAAATATTATGTTTAATTATACTAGACTGATAATGATTTTTAATTTTTAAGTCAGATTCAATTTTATATTATTTTATAATTATAAATTTTCATATTGAAATACTATAAAGTATAATTTGAATATTATAGTCTTGGAATTCAGCATGCTTAGTTAGATTTAATTTTAACTCGGGTGTGTAATATATAATATTTTATGACGCCCAAGTGAAACTCTTCAAGGTCGCAAATTTTACCGTTAAATTATATTATCTTTTTACAACTCTTCAAAGTGTTGATAAAGTTATAAAGTTTTCTTTTGTTGGAGACTACTGTCTAAAAACTGAGAATATATTATACTACCTTTACTGGTTACTACTAAACAGTTTATGTATGAACAAAAAAGACGTTTTTGAAGTAATAAATAATAATTTTATGTAAACACTTAAGTATATTACATTTAAATTTAAAAAAGTTTATTTTTATTTTGTTGAAAATATTTTATGCAGAAAAATAATTACGAAGCATATATTTTTATATATTTATATTTTAAATTATACAGGAATTGTATATACATTATATATTAAAATTATTTTTCTAAAACCTACAGTGATTATGTATTCAAATGTTTTTATATATACATGCATAACTTATAAGTTTAAATTTATAATGATGGTAAATGTAAATAAAATGATGCATTTTATAGTGTAAATCACTATGTATTGTATATTCGTATAATCATTTATACACTATACGTATTATACGTACATAGTGTTATTTTAATTTATAAACTGATATTTCGTTGAATTAATGAGAATATTATTCACTGTATAGTATAGCTGCTCCGAAATCGATTGAAACATTACGAACACCTGATTTACACCACTGCAGGTAAACAAACAAAAAATAAATAAACCAACAGAATATAAAACAACGTCGTCGAGAAAATAACTAATCAAATTTTTATACACGGGCTTACACAACTATACATTCAATTATTATTATGTTTGACGGTAAAATAATATGCATTATATTGCTGTGTATATTATTATAATAGTTAATAACGATTATTATTATTATATTTATGATAGTATGTGCTATGATCTATGACGCCTACCACTTACAAGTTAAGCGACCTATTGCGGGAGTAAAAATAACCCATTCAACAACTAATAAGGGTTTAATACATACACAAAATAAAACAAAATATTAATTATAAAAGAACTAAAAAAACATCACACGTGTCGCGGCAATGTCCGCTCTTAATCACAAAAAGATATACGTACAACACACGCAAGAACACAACTAAAGGGAGGTACAAAAAAAAAAAAAAAAAAACGTAATGTACAACTTCAAAAAATAAAACCAGCCCGCACACGATTAAACCAACAATTTAATATGGTAATGTACATAGGAAACAAAAGTTGATGACTATGAATTATCATGATGATGATTATGATGGTGATGATGATGATGATGATGATGATAATTACGTTTCACAATATCAAACGAACATTTTACACGCGCACACAAGGTGCTTAGGCACAACCGTACAAGTACGTATATATATGTAGGTATAACAGGCGGGTTGGACGGGTGGAGGTAATGTGTGTATTGTCGTCATATAAATATTATATTATATTTCATGTTCTATAAACGTATTAATGTATGTGAAACACATCCAGAGGGTAAATCACCACTGGCAATAAGCGTACATATTTTAGGTTATTGTTGTAAGAGGTATCGGATTTTTATTGTCTGTGCTATAGGAGAATCGTTTATTGTATTGATATTGCACATATATTGTATTATAGTTGAGAGACATCCAATCCCTGTATAAAAACTGAAGTATTCGTTTTTATATTTTTTAGTCACCTATATGTTCTTTGTCTCGTAAACTCTTTTTGGGATACCAAAATGTCACGTTTCACAAAAAATGCCCTATATATACTACATACAGGTAATTCACCAAGCACGACACCTACCTTTCATTTCAATAATGTAGTTTTTTTAAATCTGATTTTCAGAATTTTTAAATATACTTGAAATCTAAATATTATAGGTGTTTGAAATTTATGGCAAATATATAATAATTTGAAAAATGTATTAAGTCATACAAAACTATCAAAATTTATAATTAAAAAAAATAATAATAATAAATATTATATCCGATATTAATATTTAATTTTAAAGATTATTATGCTTATTATATACATTTCAATAACTTTAAAATTATTTATTTAAATTTTAAAAAATTTTTAAAAAAAAGTTATCCATTAAATAGCTTATAATAAAAAAGAAATTTTCACTTAAAATAAAGTTTGAATCTCTACAGAACTCTGTATTTAAGAAGTATAAAAATTTTCGATATTTTTAAATACGGTCTTTAGGTATAATTTAAGAATTTCAAAAATTATAATTTGCATAAATTTATTATAAAAAAAAACTAAGAGTGAGCATAATAATGCTTAGTGATCAAGCTTGTACCTATATATTTTTTGTTTTGTAATAATTTATTATTAATTATTATAAGAAACAAATATTAAAATTGACTTTTCATCGAATTAATAATATCCTGTTAAAGGTATAATATAGGTATATAAAACTCTAAGTACCTACTTTTGTCAAAGAAAAAGTTTACTACATGTATGGGAGTCGATGAAAATGCGTATATAGAGATTTAAGTATACAAAGAGGTTTTACAATATTTTTAGTCTCATGATTTGAATTTTAAAATCTTTCTATCCTATAACAGTATTAACAGTATTAGATAATCATTGTTCACCAAATACCGTTGACAGATGCAGTGGGATCTGTAAGAAATTGTAAGACTGTTTTCGGAAATAATAACGACAAAATCGTCAATAATTAAAATTACTATGGAATTGGAATTATAGGTACACGAAATTGTCAGCAGTGATTTAGCCTCACCCCTCACCCATCCTCCACGTACTTTTTGCACCAGCGATTTGGTGCACTTGTAGTGGATGTAACGTTCAGCGGACGCCAACAGCGCACAAGCTGTGTCCACGGTGATGCCGCCGCCCGTGTCGGCGAAACCCGTACAGGCGGCCCGCAGCTCGTCCAGTCCATAACAGTCGGCCGCATTCAACACGCCTGATAAAATAACACTATTGCAGTGGAGATACGACGATACATTGAAAAATTAGGGTGTATCGACTTGTATAATATTTACATAATACGAAACTTAAATGCATTACAAAAAAAAAAAAATAAGTGAATACAATATAAACTTTTTGAAAAGAATATAGTAAAATAAAATGGAATATATTAACATTATGCAATCATTTCAAAATTCTCTCAAATCGTATTTGTACGCATCAAACATTTGGTTATAGAACTGGAACTATCGTGGCAGTCGACGAATACGATATTAGTATAGGTACGACGGTACCTATACCGTCCTCGAAATTATTTTCATATTTCTACGTCAAAATGTAATAACATTAACTTTTGAGAACAAACGCTTTATTAATATTATACCGCTTTAATTATTTCATTAGTTTAAGTTCACAGAAAGCCCGAATTCAATGTGTTAGTAAGTTTCTGATATTGATTTTATAAAATCAATGATGACGCGTACATGTGGATCTAACGAACTTTTGTACTTTTCTTTCACTTTTCGTACACTGTGTGCCTTTCAATTTGATACCATTTATTATTAATTATACTACAGTTTGAACAATATTAACTTTAAATAAAGACTTAAAAGTTTCAGGAAAGCATTAATTGTTATTATTCATTATTTCATTACTAAATAAAGAAGTGTACAAGTCAATTATCATTTTTTAGTGAACACATTATTTGTTATTAAGGTAATATACTAATTTATTTATTAAATTATATTAAAACCCTGACAACATTGTACATTAGTTCTATAGGAGTACCGAAAATAAGTGAAAAATAATTATGAAGGACTCTATCCTGCAAAATATTCAAAATTACATCGAGTTTTATAAATATTAAATGTTTAATTCAGGAACCCAATTGTTAACACTTTTTATATAGAAGTGATTCATTTTCCGGCTAAAGCGTTTTATAATGTATACAAATAAATAAATATATATTCATACAAATATGTCTAATATTATCTATTATTTATATCGACTTACCTAGTAACGTCCGTGGTTGTAACGTTACACAACCAGTGTGTACATATTCCACCAACTGTCGGAACACGTCGGCATCAAATTCTTCAATCACTATTACTGTCGGCGATGTTACGCTCGCAACATTACTTATCGCTGTTGCCGCAGTTCCGACAGAACTTCCTCTTTTATACTTCGACCAAGATGTCGAGACGTTGGATCCGGCAGTCACCATTTTACTATTGTTCTTAATACTGTTCCTATTCGGTGGTGACTTTTGTTGTTGCTATATTTTGGTTTATAGGTACATCAACAGTCACACAAAAAATACAAATCAATAATATATATCATACATATACATTTCTATACAACTGTCAGCTAAACATTCAACTCGTTATTATTATGTCAACATTGTGGTAACTCGTTTAAAATTTTAAAGTAATATGTTTTGAACAAAATATTGTTTATATTTATTTCACAGTACCAAACTAGGTTTATACATTAAATAGAGTAGTCATTTATTTCGAATACTGTATTGTAAATGGAAAAGCAAGAACGAAGTGACTGTGGTAGAGTGGTTTCTATTGTATGTATGTAGTGACTAGTGAGGATAATATTAATAATGTTTTCATACATTGAACCATTATTAAATATTTACTGACGTAGTCCTAGTTATTCTACAAGAAGACCTCAATTTATTATACTACGTAGTTTAATACATTATTAAATATTTCCGAAAAGCGTGTAAATAAAAAATAACGATCGTTTAGAAGTCATATTTGAATTTGTTAAATAATATACTAAAAGTTTTATTACTTTGTTATTATTGCCATTATACCTTAAATAATACTTTGATACACATAAAGATAAATAAGATAAAAGATAAACCATAACTATAATTAATCATTTCTTTAAAGTTTAAGCCCCCATAATCTACATTTATGTTAATCTTCATGTTATTTATCTAGTAAATCATAAGTAATTGGTTTATATAACTGTAAATTTGGTATGGACATATTTATAAATGTAAATTCCGTTTCGTGTTATTAATCATTCTCTAGCTCCCAAGAAATAAAATTATAAATCAATTAATACTGTTCACCAAAAACAATAATATCTTGAGGTTAAAATTTGTGTATCTAAATATTAATTAAGTATAACGATATTTCAAGAAAAATAATAGGATTTACTTACCCGTGATTGATACTGTTGTTGATGATTGTGTTGAATCAATGGTTCTGAACTTCGTTTTAATAACATTCTCAACCTATTTTGTTGTTGAGGATTTTGACTTCCACTTGCAGCACTAGATAATTGTTTTATTAAGCCTCCACTGCGTTTTGATGAACTGCCTCCAACTGAGTGTTGTTGGTGTTGTAGTTGCTTGCCATTCGTGTCATATAACATTTTATAAAATACTCTATAAACATAAAAAATATACCATAAAAACCACTAAAGCTTAAAACATATAAAATAATAAAATTAATACTAAACAGTTAGTGTGTTTTATTAGTCCTCAAATTGTTTTTATTTGTTACTTAATTAAGTGCATACTAAATTTTTTTAATTTTGTATAGGTACACAAAGTAATAAAACTTTCGAAAAATTATGAATAATTACGGTATGATATGAATAATATATACATATTCACGTACGAAATGTATAAATGTTACTTTAAATATAAAAAATAAAGCTAGAGTTATCGAATTGTACTATTTATTTTCGAAATTATTTGTCATTTACCTCAAAATTTCAGAAAATTAATTAAGTTATTTACGATAAAACGTCAATTAACAGTTATCAGTTATACTTCAATAGAATGTTGAAATAACATTATTTTTATTTATTCAACTATTTTTTATTCATTGTTTAAACCTACTCTTACAGTCACTTGATTACCTACTAACACTACTAAATAACAAAAGGATATTCGTATAATAATATCCGAGGATGAATATTTATTTTAATGAAAATATAATTTGATTTTCGTAATATTACCTTTATACTTTATAGATAATATTTAGTAAATTATAATTTAAAAACTATTATTTTTAAATATAGTAAACTGAAAATCATTTAAAAACATTTAGCAACATAAAACATAGTTAAAACTTGAAACTCCAGAAAATAAATAAGAAAATACGAATAAGTTTTAATTTAATTTTGTTATTGTGTTCGTAAAAACTTTTTTAGAAGTAAAATATATATTTAAAAGTTTCATATTATAGTGTTTTAAATAGATTGGAAATTCGATTAAGGTGATATTTTAAAAATATAATTTTTCAAATATTCCAAAAGTTTTTTAGGAAATTGCGGAACCTATCCATTCAAGATGATCCGGAAACTGAATCTTGTATATGTATAATCTTAAAAGGTAATCCATCGATAAATAATGCAAAGTAGCTAAAGACTAGGAGTCTCGGATCAGAAAGCATCTCGTCTTAAAAAGAATAATTACATATTATTAATTAATAACGCAGAAAAGGTAAAACCAACAATTACTTCCTTATACCGTTTAGCCAATAATTATTTAAACAAAATATATAGTTTATACTAGAAAAAGTGTTAGTAATTAAAGCAATATTTCTAATCGTGTAATTCACAAACATAAAACTAATTGAAATAAAAGAGAGCTTTAGTATTCAAGATTTTTATTGTAAAAAAGCCTCAAAATTTACATATATTGCACATTTTTATAAAACTAAGATTCATCTAGCATGCATAAGTAAATATAATTTTTATTTTAAAGTATAAGCTATAATTTTTTTAAATTTATTCTGATGATTACAACTGTTATCTAAAAATACTTAAAAATAGAATTTTGGTTAATTACCTAATTTCTTACATTATCACGATCGTTCAAAGTTTAAAATGTAAATTATTGGTTTTAGTTAAAATATTTGAATTGGTATATAAGATGAAAAAAAATTCTCCTTTCAATGGTTTGGTGATAATAAATTGTTTTAATTAATATGCAATAACACATTTAGTTACACAAAGATTAACTTCAAAATATATATGTCACTAAGATGACAGTTTATCGAAGTATATTAAGGTTCTCCTCGCATTAGATAAATATAGTTTGTTTGTTAAAGATTAAATCGATTTCTAAGCAAGTAGATTAAACTTTGTAGTTTGCCTACCATTTTTAGCATTTAACAATTAAATTCAAGAGAATTTAAAATTATAATTCTGCGATTCTTTTGCACAATAATGTACCTTTATTGCCTATATATTACGCCGGGTTACCCACATATTTTCTAAAAATTTCGATATTATTAACTAAATTAAATTTTTTTATTAAAAACGAACCAACAGCACTACAAATAGTTAATAAAAGACAAATTATACGTATATAACAGAAGAATTATACGTAATTTCAATATAAATATAATTGTTTTAGTTTTTTTTTAAATATTATAAGTTATTAAAGTTATTTTATATTCATTGAATAATATTATAATTATAATATCGTTAACTTAGTTGTAGCAATAGTGCCATGCTGTTATGCGTTATACTTATATTATTGTGAGGTTTAACATTTATAATAGATTAAAACGTAATCTTAATAAGTAATTACACCAAATTCTGAGGCTTTTATATAATAATACGGCTTTGATTACATTGGTACCCTATATACTAATTTGCTATTAATATTTTCTTTAAATATGCCAATTAATTTTCATGATATTTTAAACTGCATAAAATCATTTTTTTTTTGTAGACATTTTTATTTTTATTAAAATCAGTCCTTTAAACTGTCGTATTTTTTTTTTTTTTTTTGTGTCTTATGTATAATAAGCGTAGTTTCAAGTTATTTTCTGGGCGTTTATTATTTTTCTTAGAGAATTCTTGTTTTTGACATAATGAACAAAACAATTTATTAGTCCTTCTTTTTTTTAAAGTTTACAATTTTAGTTGTTGTTAACTTACTACTATATATCAATTTAGTACTTATATATATCATATAAATTGCGTAATTATATTATTTTATAGAGTCGTCTTTTTGATATGGTCACTATAGCTGTTCATCGTAAGGATATCAATATAACCTCAAACAAAGTATTGGAGAATGACAAAAAAAAAAAAAAAACAAAAACAAAAACAAAAATTTAGTAATATAATAAAAATGTTATTAATATTATGTTTATAAATACAGTTTGTTATAATTGAATAGTGCTTGTTAAAAAGTCAGTCACATCCCCTCCCATGACAAAAAATCATTTTAACACCATCGTCGCCGTGACATTTATTGACATCTTCCGTGCTGTACGCTTCAATCTAAATTTCTATCACTTATTTTTCATTTAATTTACTATGATTACTTATTTTATACAGATAGTTCATTGGATCAACTTTAATCTTAACGGTTTACGGTTTATAGTTACCACTATAGAAAAATAATCTGTAAAATTAGTTTCTAATATTCCTGCTTCTATTTTACCACTTACATAAGTATAGTACTTAATAAAAATATGGTCTTAGCAAGAATTGAAGAATGTATTCAACCTAATGGAGTTCTAGACTCTAACACATTAATATACTTAAACGGCATAATTTATACTTTTGTATACGAGTATAATTCAAAAATATAAACAGTTTCATAAATCATGAATTATTCAGCATTTATTATAGTTCATTTTATGATATAGACATATTTTCGACCAATTCATGAATTAAGCATTATGTGTTCATTTTATGAAATGGAAAATATTATACTAGAATGCTATATAGTGATTACACGATCTTATATGAAAAAAACATAGATTACGTTGATTGAATAAATTTCTGACTAAAATATACTAACCTTCTCAACAAAATGTTGATAATTAAATTAATTTAAAAGATTAATATTTCATGAATTTATTTATTTATAATTTTATAATTTAACTGTTGATTTATCAAATAAACTATGTATTTATTTATCTATAGTATAGTAATAATTTATAAACATATCTATATTTAAACTTATTATAACTTATTATCATATACTTGATTATTAATATATTTTTAACTACTTACCGGCTTCTAGCCGCGAGTATTGCCTTAACTGCACACACTGGTTCCCGTGTTTCCCCGACTAAAAATGTGACGTCACACACTTCTGGGATAGCTGCAAGAAACTTCAAATCATCTGCTAATCCACCTTTATATTCGAACAGTGTTTCGTCCATTGCTGTAGAAGATGTAGTAACGGGATATTGTTGCTCCATCTTTAACCTGTTATATCACTTCATATAGATAAGTTATATTGTATTAATTATTTAGATACCTAGTAACTAGTAATTGAATAATTATTGATTTCCTAATCAATTTATTTCCAGTAATGTGATAACAAAATACATATACCTAAACATTTATACTGAATTTCAGGTTCTGCAAAGTCAACTAATTTAACCAATAATAGACGTTGGTTTACTATCGTTTTAATTTTATATAATGGTATTTAATCACCGTATATTCTCATTTTTCATTAAGAATAAAACAGGAAAACACAACGAGCCTTCATAATTATGTTTTTGTTAGGTATTATTTTTAAATTAATATTTAAAATTTTTCATATTTTATAGATTAGAGAATTAAGTTAGATAGTATTTAAAAAGGTCATTTTAAAAAATCAAAAGACTTTCAAAAAATAAAATGTATAGTGCTTATACTAAATATAATCTATTTTATTATAAAATTAATTTAATATATCTAATTAATATTATGAGTATAGTTAAGTAATTTTAACAAATATATTGTGAAAGATTGGATAAGTTATTAGTCCACTTACTAACATTTTGTGGATTATCCCTTTGCCAAGTAATTAAAGCTTTTCTCAAATAATTTTAGCTTTAAATTCTTAATTTTGGCACTTATTGAGATAATGAGTGCTAAATATAAAATAAATCAATCTATTAATCGTTTTAAAAAAAAGATATGAAAAGTTTTTTTTTTTTTAAATCATAGAATAATTTCTACTTTACAAAATATAACATAACTAACAAATATTTTTTTCAATATTTTTTTTAATTTTTATAAATTTATTAGAATTTTAAATTTTATCACAACTATAAAACAACAATGATAAAATATCCTCTATTTCTAACTACGTATCTAAATTATCTTAAATATTATATTTTTTTTATAAAAATGGTTATCTTGCAATAATAGATTAAATTTAATAATCAACTAATATTTTTAGAGATATTTAATATAAATCTATGCCATTTTAAATATTTATTCAGTTTTTTTAATATATTATACGTTGATAAAATATTTAGGTATACCTACCGTAAATATATTTAACCTATCGTAACTTATACGGCGTCGTATTTCATGCATATTAATATTACATAGTATAATACTTAGGTATATAAAAATTATTGGATCTGATTGTACGCTGTGTTTTAGTTAAGATACAAAATAATATAGTATTATTAAAAATATAATAAATAGTAATAGTATTAAATATAATACTATTAAATGTTTAGTAATATTTCTTTATAATACAACGTTATTGTATTCAATTATTTATTTCCTAAAATGATTATAACATACGTACAAATACCAGGATATTTTTTTTATATTTTTAAAATTAAACAAAGTAAAATAAAATTATTTGATTCTTCATGAGAAAAAAGGCCATAATTTAAGTATAATACTTGTAGTGTTATATGCTACTAATTTAAATGTAAGTAATAATATGCTTTTAATATTTATTTATAAATTATATAAATAATAAATTTTAATAGCAATCGAAACACATAATATACAAGTATTAGTTACTATTATATAGTATTATGATATAATATACCGCTATAAAATGTCATCCTATTATATTTAGTTATTTAGCAATAACTATTATTAGTTAAACAAAGATATTTAGATAAATAAATACATTTTTGAAATTCTTCTCTTACTTTTGATATGATTATTATTTATTAGATGATTATGAACTTGAGATATTTCATTTTCATATTAGTGATATTTTTTTTACTTTATAGAATTTGATATATGAATTTAATAAATGTATGATATATGTATATATTAAATACACATTTTTATTATACATGTAATATCCCTCTAACAAAAATATTAAATTAAAAAATAACAAACAGTTTTTATTTTATTAATTCACACTTAAAGATTTTGGAATTAGGTTAGAGAAATTAGGAAAATAAATTATTCGAAAGAAAGGATTTTATTTTGTTCTATCATTAAACATGTTTTTAAAATATATAAATTATTGTACTGCTTGTCTGTGTTTTATATCATGCATAGTTTAAATTTTAAACTTTTGATGGATGATATTTGACTTTGTATGTATGTTTATAATTATGCGTTTACAGACAGAATAATATGAATCAAAAAGTCGGTATGAATCCATATATACCATGCACCCCTTTGAATATATTTATCGTCGTGTTAAATATTTAAGCGGATTAAGCTCAAATAAACAACGATATTGTGTTTTGAATATTCATTAAGACTAACAATAATATGTGCAGTAACAACCATTTATAAATCGTAAATGATTTGATACTTTGTTGATGAAGCGAATTCGCGATACAATAACGCGTATTAATTTAAAAACCCTTTAACGGTGTCGTTGAATACAATATATATATATTATAATATTGAAGGAATGAAGACTTAAAATAATGTCGTGATAACCACGACGCGTATGTATACTGGCATAATATAGCAAGCAGGTACGCTCGTTCGGAAGCGTATAGCATAATTTCGTATAATAATACAAACGGCGGTTATAGGATATTAATGTTCAAACTCACAATGTATTTTCTTGTCCCGGCGAAAGAGTCAAACGTTGCGTCTGGTGCGGCCGACGTGTGTACACTGCTCGTGCTTGGAAGTGTTTACCTACCGACAGAGTTTACTCTCGACACATGTACAGTTATGCATGTGCGGTAGCCGAGCGTGGCGGTGGCTGCGGCGCGAGCGTTTGTGCGACGTTGCGCGCGTCAGACCGGTTAAAAGGACGTCGTGCCCGCGCCTTTGCATACGGCGGTATGCTATTAATAACAGTAAGAATAGTAATAATAACAATAAATAATAATAATAATAATAATAATAATCGGAGCGCAGGCGCGAGACCGTAGGACCGCGGTCTCGGAGAGTAGCGTCGACGCGACGACGGTGACGTTTGCAGTAATTCTGCGAGAACGGTGTACGGGAATCGCGCGAAAGAGGAAGCGACGGCGTGTAGTCGCAAGTGGTATTGGGGACGGTGGTTCTGTGAAGGCGGCGCGTGGTGGGGTGGTGCTGGTGAACGGCGCAAACGTCGGAAACGGCGGAGTCGGGAGGCGAACGCTTGTTATAACCGTCATACGGGGTGATCCATTTAACGTGCGGCACTCGTCGTAATTACAGAAAACAAAACTTTTTTTTTCTTTTTTTTTTTTTTTAAACAAATATTTCTTTTACTAAAGCATAATTGATACAAAACAGCGTTGTTGAAAAAATCGTATTTTTTATCGTTATCAAACGTTTTTGTTATGCTTTTTACTCTTTTGAACAACAACGCGCGTTTCTAATTTCCAATTACGATACACATTATTACCCGGAGCATTTTTTGATCCATACAAATCAAATTTCAGACGATTCGCTTATTATAGTTATGAATACATGATCGTGTGCACCGAAATTTGGCGTGGTATTCCTGTATTACTGCGCTCCTGTACTCCACTCCGCTCTTATATTAACTTTAAAACCCCATAACTTACTCGTTAAAAAATAATTCGATATTGATAAATCGAGATACTCCAAAAAATATTCTGCTTTGAAATAAGAAATTAAAAAAGTATATTGTCGTTAAAAAGAAAAAAAATCGATAATAATTTGTAAAAAATATATATTTTTTTTTTAGAAAAATGTTCTTTATCGACTTAAAATATTTATAAGAATACTAGAATACTAATCAATTTCGTATAATGAGAGTCTTACATTAAATTTTTCATACAGTATAAATATGTATGTGTATGTATATAGATAAGCCATAATTGGAAAAAAAACGAGCTCGTACCTCGGCAATCTGTAAGCTCGTGGTTGACTGTCGGCCAGCAGCCCGCGCAAGTTCTCCGCGACCAATCGATATATTATATATATTATGCGTACGTGCGTGTGTTAGTGTAAGTGTATAAAAGAGTGTTTAGTATATTACATAATATATTGGTATTCATTATGCACAAAAACTGTAATAGGAAATATATCCGGTCGTATCGAGGCCTTGACTGTTTTCTTTAAATTGTCGTGATCGTTTTGTTTTTTAATAATTAATAATAATATCATGCCATCATATTGTGTTTGCATTATTTAATTATATGACACGTAATTATTACAAATTAAAAATTATTGAATCGTGAATATCCGTGATTTTATATCATCACATTACCCAAATTCGTACTCATGCATTAGCGTCTATCATACGATAAAGTATAGGTACTTACACTGGTTGATGCTTGGTATATTGTCGGACGTCTTTTGAAAACCAATATTTGTTTTACGCGAAACATGAGAAACATAATTAGAGCAGAGAACTAACCACGCGTTTCGAACGTGTGTTTAATGTTTATATATACGTATTAAAATGTATCTTGGTATATGAGCGTTGGCGTGCGTAAAGAGGGTGTCGAACGTGTCTGGGCAAACCACGACCTGTGATTGGAGCCCTAAAATTTAATCCCTATAGCATTTATGTGGATCAGTATTTTAACTGATGTAACTAGAATACAAATATAATTTTTCTAAAATATTTGATAAAAAATTAATTGAGTTTTTGAAAAAAAAAATTAATATAACACATATTTACTAGGTATATCGTAAAATTACAAACGTATGCAAATATGCAATCGTGTTCTGCCCTTCACCGCGACCATTTAGCATTTTGTCGCCGGATTATTAGTCGCAAAGAGAACCTTCCCGCGAAATATTGATAATACAACAATACTAAGATTATGACATTTTTTCCAAATCTCGTCACCCGACAAGGTTCGTCTTTGATTGACACACTGAGTTTTGCGACATCAATTTTCAATTTTGATTTGTTTCTCAATTCAAATCATAATAATCATAAACATTTTATCATTCTCTCAGTGACTCAGTATCACAGTTCCACACTAAAAATTACTGTTTTAATTTCTGTTTATGAGCAACTCATTTAAATGCACATAGAGTATGAAACTATTTCTAACATGTGACAGACGCTTTTTTTTAGAGGGCATAATATGAACAATTATGAGAAAAAAAAATAACAACATATTTTGTAGGTATGATTTAATTTACAACTTAATATTATGTGACAAAAATTATAGTAAAATTATTGAACGTTTTTCATTTTCAATAGACACGATTATTTTATTACTCACTATACGAATCATTTTTATACAGAATGTATATTTAATTAGTTCGTAAATATCAAAAAAAAAAAAAAAATTATTATTATTTTAATAAATACAAAAATTGTATAAATTTTTATTTTATGTTATGTGTATACATATATTATATTTTTAAATTTTAAATTTACGTACTTTTAACAATACATACTATACAATGACATGTTAATATGTTATATGTTATAAATTATAATATATACAATAGGTAGTAGGTACATTCATTTTTAAATTTTATTTTTAATCACTATATGATTATCCATACTCTCCTTGATCACAGTTAGTGCGGATAATCAACGCTCTACTGCAAGCGTACCTGGTTCGCGGAAATATTCCAACCGACCTCAACCACTCGTGAGTCGTGACCATTTTAAAAAAATTAGCAATTTGTATAGGTATAAAAAAAATAAATAAAAGTTACATTAAAAAAAAAAAAGTTATTTTAATGAGTTTTTAAGAATTACAAAATATCTTACAATTTTTAATATATATAATTATTAATTATAATAAAATAAATGTTTTGGATTTTATAATATTAATAGAAATAAATTAGAGTTAAATTATTTTGGCTTGTTTTTCTTTAATCAATATTTCAATATTCAGAATAAAATGTGTAATACCAATTCTTAAAAGGAATATAAATGTTCATCAGCTAAACGAGATCTTTCTGAATATTTTGCGTAATTCATACAGGAAAACATTTATTTGCAAACATAAGTAGAACCAAATAATGTAAATGGACGCATTGATAATTCTTTTATTTTTGAAAAACCGTCATTTCAAACGATTTTACATCACTCATAAAATCGAAAATAGTTTTGAAATTTAAGATTTAATTAATTTAAATTAGCTAAAATATCAGTTAAGAGAGCAATATCATACATCCATTCTTCTTTTCCAAATTCTTCTACTGGTTTGTTTTAATCTATCATAAATACTTAAATTTCTCGTTGAAGATCAAAAAATAGTTTTAATACTTTTCTTTAACTTAACCACCAAACTTAATTATAGTAAAATATATCTTTATGTTCCAACTCGATTGCATTTAAAAATTCTATAAATTGTCTATGTTTTAATCTGTGAGATCTAATGAAGTTGATTGTTTTTGTAACAATATTCCAAATTCATGATTTTACCACACAAATATTCTTGGTGAATAATATAGTGTAAAAATATAAGTGTTTTAATCATTTTTTAAGCTATCTTTTCAACTAATCCAGTATTTCGTTCAACCATATTTGGAGCTCCATTTGTTGTAATACTACAACGTTTTTCCCACATCAATCCTAAATTTTCAATACAGCAATTCACTTTTTCAAAAATATCAACTCCTTTTGTAGTTCCAGAAATATTTTATAATGAAACAAGTTCTTTTGTTATTTTATAACTTGTATCCATTCCTCGTATAAATATAAATAACTAAGCAGTGTTTTTCAAATCACTGCATTTGTCTAAAGCTAAAGAAAAAAATTCAAACATTTTTAATTTTATTTGTAACTGCGTCATTAAATCACCTCCTATGTATAGTTCTTCCTATGTTCTTATACCTCCTAACCACCCGCTTAGTAATATAGTGTTTCGAGATAAACTGATATTTTCGAATACAGACATTTTTTTGGAATAATTTCTTTTATACTTGCTATAAGAAACATTTTTTAACAAATTCACCATCATTGGGTAACTTCTATTTTTGCGAAATATCAGATTATCTACTTCATAACTTTTTCGAATGATTTCCTCCTTACCATTATGTTTTTTAAATACATTTTCAATTCGTTCACTTTTGACATTTTATCTGAATTTTTCTATCAAATAAGTTTTAAAATTCTATAAAAATATAAACTTATAAATATTTATTTCTACATTTACTTATCTAAATATCTAAATACCCTCTTCAAAAAAATAAAAAAATTATGATTAATGTGTACCTTTACAATTTATTGATTTATTTTCTTTGATGTTTACTTTAATATTAAATTCTTTTAAGATCGCGACGGTTTCATAACATATATATTATATATATGAGACTCCAATTATCATTAAAAACACAGCGTTCAGTAAAAATTTGAGTTTTTTATTTTGAAACATTTTAATAATTAAAATCTAATTAATTATCTATTGTAAACAAGAAATTCGAACCTGTAGTTCCTAATAACGAAAATAAATTAGGAACTAGCGTGAAAGTACTCAGTACTTTATACACACACGATTAGAGTCATGAATTCGATAAGTGAACAAAGATAATATATCTATTGTACATTTAATCGAAATGAAGATAAAAAAAAACCGTGAAGTATATACAGCCCGCAGTATAAATATAAATTTCAAAAGTGGCCCGTAAGTTGAAAAAGATTGGATACGCCTGCTCTACTGTATTGAAGTATTTTGTTGAAATTCTACCCACGCCCGCAGACAATACCTACATGCTTATGCTCGTACTATTCAGTTCATCCCAACTGCAAACAATAATTTTTAAAACCACTGCGGCACCACACGCATATGTCTCACTATAATTCAACGATTTTAACCCCCTTTTTCACCGGCAATGACATTTCTCTACAAATTGCGTTATTCATCATATTTGTATTTTTTACTGATTTGAGCGTGCGTGTCGACGTTGTACACATCGAATTGGTATCTATACGTTCGTGCGTATGATAGACGACCTGCAGTCAATGTTAATTGTATTCTTTTTCAGACAATCATTATTGTTTTCATTAATTTTACACATTTTTATTGTATTATGTTTAAAATTTATACATAAATATGTAAATATAAAATTTATTTGCCAGGAAAATACGATAACAAATCTTTATTCAAAAATACATTTTTGAAAATCTAAATATTACATTTATATTTAAATACACGAAATAACAGAAATTTGTATCTCCATACATTCTTTAGACATTCTGTATATCTAAGTATTAGACATATAAGGTCTAAAGTATTTTAAAATATGATTAAGTTTATTTAAAAATTCTAAAAATAGATAATAAAAAGGATAAGCGTTTGATAAATCAACCAGTATAATAATGATTCATCCAAGCAACTAATTTAAAGATATTATCTAGGTATAGGTAGACATTTGAAAATTAATATGTCGTCAATGTTGATAAAAATGTTAAGGCTCAATCAAAAGCTTGAAAATGTAATACTAGTTTTCTCATAAATTGTTTTTATGCGTATTAATTAAATACCGAAAATACATATTAAGCACAATATTATGTTCATCCCTAAAAATTTGATATTTAAAAAAATAAATGAATGTTTTAATTATTTTCTGTGATTCAAAAAATATTATTCGTATGGTAGAGACTTAAAACTTTTTGCCGTAATTTATTATATTGTATATACTTACGCTTGCTACTCATTCTGATTATAACGGCATCGGCATGTCTTGGTATTCCGACCGTTTATTAAATTTGTCCCGGTTGCAATAAAAGCTAAGAGAAAATAACTTTAATATTGTATTATTTAATAAGAAAATGTAGAATATTATAAAACATTGTGTCATTATATGATTATCTTATTATGTTATCTAAATTTGTTACTATAAACGCTAGTTAATTTAAACTAAATCTAATCGACACGAAAAGTTATTGATTTACTAAGTTTGTTTTATTTTTGTACAGTACCTACATCATACATGTATCTAGTCCTTATACCTTAATTTATAATAATAAATGAACATGATATTGTGATCTAGGAAATTTAATGAACAAAGAGGGTTAGGTACAGATGATAGTATATAAACTTATATCCCATCTCAAACCAATTCCTAATTACGCCACCGGCCTTAGTTGTAAAGATATGCCTACATTCTATAAATATTTTCACATTTATATTGTGTGTAACTAAGCATAAAGAGTTTTGTAAATTGTTTATGGTAAACTTGCTCTTTCATATAACTTTTTTCGTGCAATGGAAAAAAACAATTCAAATGCAACAGATGTAGCAAATATTCCAATGCAATTGCAGAATAATATCATAGAAAGAAAGGATACTAAACTTGTCTAATTATAGGTGCGAAGAAGACTTTAAGCTATTTTACGAACGATGAAGGTAGGTATGTCATATATCAGACCGTGATAAAATAGTTTTGATGATGCATCTACATTTCTTTGGGTGAAAGAAAATAAAAATCTAAATGGGAGCATTTTTTAAAAGCTTCTGCAGTTTTAAACGAGAGACTAAAAAATAAAATTACAAACCAAGATCAGCTTTTCGATGAAGTTGTATTAGCTAAAGAGTTTTGGTTATTTAAAGTTAAAATGTAGAAAAAGGAAGAAATAAAAACTAAGAAAAAAATTACAAGTGAAGAAAAATGAGTGCAGCTATTCTGTCATTTTAAAGAAAAGGGTACATTTAGTCAATAAATTAAAATCTAAAATTAATTTTGCAGTATATCTTAAGTATGCCAAAAAAACCTCTGCAGTTCCAGTAGAAAGAATTTTTTCGCAATGAAAATTTAAAATTAAAAAAAAATTATATCTGTTACCGTGGTAATTGATAAGAATAATAGATAGCATAATGACGTCATAGACAGTGAATATTTTCCTTGCTATGATTCATTCGTGGATTGATAGCGGAGATAACAGAACCTGACAACCCAACTCTCAAGTCGCACAAAACAATCAACATACAACTATTTAATCACCAATGAGTATTATGAGTTACGACAATTAACTTCCAATTAAACCAACTTCATTAATTATCTAATGCAATAATTTACTTGAAACAAAACCTTGATAATTGTTATTTATTATTTAGAAAAGATAAATAAATTATGTACATTTTTACGTGTAAAAATAATTACCTACGTTAAATTGATCAAGTATTTTTTTTTGAACAAATTATTTTTGAAACACTATTATAATCTATTAAATTTGAAAATGTGCGTTCCTTTTCAAAAAACCGTGCGCTATCACTTTGTAACACTTTTATAGTATCAATCAACTTTAAAGTAACCATACACGTTTCACATAAATTTTAGCTCGCTCTTCGTTGTCATAAGAATACTTAAAAAGGTAAAAAAAAAAAAACCTTATCTTCAGATTTTCTATTCTAAATTCATTCTACTTCTGTTTGTTAATACCTTATTTTGTCTCTTAATATTCCATATGTTATTAATATTTGTTAAATATTAATTGTATTTCAGGTTTCGACTATTGCCTTGAAACAACACATGCATTCTACAAGGCCAATTAATTGTGGTGCAGTTGATCAATGGGAAATTGTTTTTCATGTTTGCGCTCTAAGAGTAACACTAGACCGGTGGCACATTCCAGTGACAACGAAAATTTAGACAATGTACCAGACAAACGAGTTGATGGTAAATTAATAATTAAATAACCTGTTTATGATAAGAAAATAATAATTATATACAAATCTACTAGCTTAAGCATTGCCTTATTGATTTAATTAAACTATTACTCTAAAGAATTAAAAACGTTAACATCAATTTTTAATTTTTAAAACATTAAATTGCCAATTTCACATGTATGTATTTATAATATATAACAATAATTCTTAACCTATGGTCCGTGGCCCCCTGGGGTTCTGTGGCAGCCTTAATACATAACATACATCAATACGTGACATGAGTACATTATTACAATAATGTTGAATTCTTTTTTTTTTTTTTTCATAATTATGCAATATACTTTATTATATGAGAGATAGACCTATCTTATCTTATTTATATTACTTTTTCATGAAAAATTTGGTATAATGAAAATAATTATAAATGTGTGTGTTTTTTTATGTCTACTCTACTTATTTAATTTTTAATACAAAATAATTATTATAATTTTGATTATAATAACATGAAATGTTTTGTAAAAAATAATTGAGAAAAGGGTCTGCGATTTCTAAAAATATTTAATCAGAGGTCCATGATCTACAAAAAGTTAAGAACTGCTGGTATATAATATATAGTATTTACCTAAATGTAAAAAAATTTATATCACACAATATATACATTAATGTTTTTAAAGTCTAATATTATTGTGATTTGGCCTACTTCTTGAACTTCTTGAATGGATGAACTATTGGAAATTATCTATGTAATGGTATGCATACTATTAAAATAAAAATTGAAATTATATGACTAAAATAAGAAGAGATAGATAGACAGAATAAAGAATAACATATAAATGACTAGACTAATTAAAAGTCAGGTGATGAAAAAATTTTATGAAGGTATAAGACACAAGTGATTGACTCTATATAGTTGAGACAACTCAAAAGAAAAAGAATATTAATACCTAAATAGTCATCTAAAATATAAAACTTATAATTTAAAAATCTTAGTATGATATCAATAAACAATTTAAGTAAATAAAATCATATACTTGTAAAAACAATTTAGGTCATGTTTTGTTAGAGACGCTTAAACTGAAAGTATTTTAACCCCTATTCAGTTACATTTTTCTCAAGTTCTTGTAGTACAGATTAAAGTTTTGGTTAATTTATAAAAACAATTTTTTTTTTTTTTTGTACAGGTCTGGATTTAAATGAATTAAATCCCCCAGTGATGGCCATGAGTAATGGAGCTCATAATACTCCTGTTATAGGATCAGTAGGTAGTGATAATTGTGGTAGCTTACGTTCCTCATTTACCTGTACTCGTTTGACGTCTACATTAAACAAGACCAATATAAAGTTGAATAACTTTGCCACAAAAAGTTTCCAAACCAGAGTTCAAAAATTATTTGACGTATACAAAGATTCTGTCGAAGATTTGATATTAATTGATGGAATTGAAAGACTGTGTAGTGATTTACAAATGTCACCTGAAGAATTCCGCATCCTTATATTAGCATGGAAATGTGATGCTCATCAGATGTGTCGATTTACGCGTGCAGAATTTTTTAATGGTTGTCATGCACTTCAAGTAGATTCTGTGTCATTGATGAAAAACAAATTATCAGATGTAGCAAATGATCTCAATTATAATACTGAGGAATTTAAAAGCTTATACAGGTAAATAGTTTTTGCTCTATTTTAATATTAAAATACTATAATAGATTTTCTATAAATATTTTATTTGCAGGTTTACATTTAAATTTGGATTGGATAATGCTGTAGGACAGCGTATTCTTCCTGTAGACACAGCCATTGTATTATGGAAATTGATTTTTAATATCCGTGAACCAGAAATATTACAACGTTGGTTGAACTTTTTAGAAAGTCAAGATAATATAAGAGGTATTCCTAAAGATACATGGAACATGTTTTTAAATTTTGCTGAATCCGTATCAAATGGGGATCTTTCTAATTACGATGACACAGAGGCTTGGCCAAGCGTTTTTGATGATTTTGTAGAATATGAAAATGATCAAGCCAATCAGAACATCAGTGAAAAAGGAATTGGAAAAAAACATGGCAATGTACTTTAAAGTAACATGAAAGACTATCACACTTTTTTTTTTTTGAGTTTTTGACTTGAATATAATGTTTGAAAAATACATTATTTTATAATAATAACTTAAAAATCATCAGTACATTACAAGCCCGTCCAATATTAATATAAACCTTTGTGGTCTTAAAATGGCAATATTACTTTATAAAAAAAATCTGAACTTTATATATTATATTAAGTTGGACTAGTGAAATTTCTTATATATATATTTTTTTTTTATTATTATTATTTACTAATAGATCAAAATAAATAATTCATATTTTTATAACAGTGTTTACTGTTTATATTAATATACATAAATTAACTTGGATATATACTTTCATAAAAATATTTTTTCAAATAATTTCTATCGTGTTCAAAAAATATAAACTTTCATCTCGGTCCTACTAATTTCAACAAAATTGGTTCCTCTAAGTAATCTAATTACTATTATTTTTTCACTTAAGTATTTGGGATCGAGAAAGTTAAACATCTGGTTTTTGGTTTCTCAAATTTGAGTGCTAAAATAATCGTTTTGTACAAGACTGACTGAAGTTGTTAGTCAACAAAAACCTGTGATATTATTCACGCTTAATCAATGATAAGCGTTTAATTCTTGTTAATAATATGTGCTATTATTTTTTATTTTTTTTTTGATTTTCTTCACTTTAGTTAAAAGTTTTTAAATACTTTTTCTAAAAAATAAAACAAATTTTGGTATCAAATATAAACATATAATATATAATATATTATAATATTAATATTATATCAAAAACAAAATAATATGTACTCTTGAATAGTATACATCGATTAATTTAATTTCAATAATGTATAGATAGTTTATTTAAAGTTTGTTTGGGGTCTTGTTAATTTTGTAAAAAAAAACAAATAATATTTCTATAATATGAATAGTTTATTTATTTTCAAATTTATTAATTGATTGTAACGTGATTCTCCTGTCATATATCATATCTATTTCCTGACTATATAATATTTTTAATATTACATAAGCCACAAAATAAAATTGTTTTTAATGATTTTTTAACATAGTCATTTATTCATTATATATAACTCTTATTGTAACAAAATTATATTGTAGATATTTGTAATTATTTATATTATGAAATATGAACATTACCGTGATCAATAATGTCATATGATGTGTTAAAAACACAGTATTTGATACAAAATATATTTTAATTTCAAAATTTTAAAATTATGTGATAAAAACTGTTTACACCTATTGAGTTAACTGACAATATAGTCAAAATTATACCTTACAAAATAAATATTGTGCCATGCTAACGCCTAACATATAGGTTAATATTAGAGTTAAAAACTCTTATCACTAAATTTGAAAACAAATATATTTTTGATATCATATTCTTTTTTTTTAATATTTACTAAATTTTACATTTTTTTATACCACCATTGTAATATTTTTATTAAACAATATTGTAAATAAGGAATATTATAATATAATCTCAAAAATATACTGTTCTTCAAATTTCATAGTTAAAATTAACCTAAATACCTCAATTCTGATGTAGTGAATTCTTTTTTTATATTGCTTATTAGATTAAATAAAAGTATATTATAAGTATAAGTGTATAACACTTACTTTTAAGAGGATGCTAATTTCACATCCGTTGTATTTGTCTGAATATGCATAACATAACAAATTGTATAACCTCTTCATGCTTAATATTACAGCAAATTTACCTATAATCAAATTTAAATGTTAGAATATTATCTAGGGAACCTCATCAGTTTTTTTTTAATATTATAATTTTATTTTAGGGTGAATTATGTCTTATGATCATTTTAAATTTTAAATTGTTTGTATATTTTAAAATTTTCATTACTTTCTTTAAAATTAAAACATAAAAAAAAGCAATGTGGCTCATTAGATAATATTTTTAAGTTTAAATTTGATAATAGGAAATTTCACAGTAATATTAAACAGTTTGTAAGACAAGAAGCTACACATGTGGGTGTACTAGATATAGCATCCTCTTGATAAATTTATAAATCAGACAATTCAATTTAATTACAGTTTCTATGCATTTTTAAAGTGTTTTAAAGTTTAGTAGAACAAAGCAATTATTTCAATATTTTGAGTTCAGTACTTAATAAAGTACCTGCATAATATAATATTATAATGATATAACTTTTTAAACTTCTACATCTTCTTGATTGTGTTTTATCAAATTATACACCCATATAATTTGAATATATTTTCATAGTGTAATTAAATCAACTAATAGTATTTAAGACTTGTAAAAAAAATTTAACATATTCACATTTAATATTATGTTCATCCCTAATTTTTGTACGAGTTTCTATAAATTACTTTTCATTTAATAGTGGCGTAATTATGGGGGGATAAACTCCCGAGTTTTATTTTATTTTTTAAATAATCATTATTACATTTCCATAAGCACTTGGCTTTAAATGGTTTTAACATTTTAATTCTATTTTAAGAAATAAATATTATTAATTATTAACAAGGAAATTACAAATTTCCAATAACTAACAAAAACAAAAAATGGTGCTAACATTTCAATACAAATAGGTAGCTAACATATTCTAAATTAAAAACAAGTGCTTTTTATAAATTGTATACAGTTTTTTCTAATTCTATATAGTGGTTTAAATAATCAGCTTTTAGGTCAACTTGCTATTAGGGTTATAGATGAATGGAAAATGCTAAACCGGTCATTATAATTTAGTATTTACTACTTATTAGTTTTTATAATATATCTTATTAAATTACTATGACTGTGTTTTAGATTTTTCATGAACATTCTAAAAAGTTGTATTGTGGACTCTAACCATTTTTAAAGTGTTTCTTTTAAACAAAAATTATCAATTATTGATCAATTAAATTTAAAAACTAAATTTGTTTTATTTTTGTACAGTACATCATACATGTACCTAGTTCTTATACTTTAATTTGTTATAATAAATGAATATAATATTGAAATTTATGAAACTTAATGAACAAAGGGGGAGGGCATAGCCTTCCACTATAATATTAGTGTATAAACTTATATCCCACCCCAAAACCAATTCCTAATTACGCCAATGTTTTATTAAACAGTTTATAAAATACAATTTTGGAATAGGTATGCCATGAAATTAATACTATAGGCTATGACAATGCTAATTTGTATGATAAATGATTTGCAACAAGTTTTTGTTTTATTTTCGATCGAATAAAGATGCTTTTTGGTCGTTTTGTCTTTACTTATTTTTAATATAATATCTGATCGACCTTTGGACGACCAATTAAAAAGTTTCGTGCAAGACAAATTAAGCACCCCGAGACTTTCTGGACTCTTGGAAATATAAAACCGATAGGGTAGATGCCCTAATGCCCTTATCGGTTATCGACTAACAAGACTCAAGTGTTGGAAGTGTCTCAATTAGTGATGAGCACTACCGATTGGCGATTAACAAACTATTTGATAGTTTTAAATAAATAAGTAGTTATATGATTTATCATTCGATAAATCTGCCTAACTATGAATAGTATCAACTAATATTCCGTTGTATAAAATATAGTTGGTTGTCTATGCCTATCGCTATGAGAAAAACGGTCCCTAAAAATACGGGGGTACTTGATGGTAATGAATAATGGTTATCGTTGTCAGTTTGTCACTTGTCAGCAATGTCGAATTTAATGGGAATGCATCGGCGCTAGGGGCTTCAAGACTAAAGTTGTTTTATACTTTATACACCTCACTAGTCACTATCACAGGTTAATGTTTTTGAATTTCTAACTTCCTAAAGAAATACATTATACATTATCAACAATAATGAATAAAATGGCCTAGAATAAAATAATTTTAATAAATTACCCACTTCCGCTCATTCTAAATTATTATAGATGCTGTTGTATTCCTAATTTTCATTCAATTTAACACATGAGCCATAAGGTACCTTCTATGTAGTTGAAATGTTTTAATTTTTAATGATATTTTTCGCTATAATTGTGAGGATTCCATCTAATGCTCGTGCACCATATGTATCTATTGATGTTTCTGAATAGAATTTTTATTTTTATGAGTTCTCAAATATGAGTAGGTAGTTGCATCCCGCCAAAAACGGACTTCCGAAACTTAGATCCGGTTCTGGACTAGTCAATAGCAGTACCCAGCAGGTCACTGTGCCAACTACCAAGTACTAATAATTATAGGCTATTTTTTTCTGATTTTCCTTAATAGATAAGTACACATATTTAAATTTGAGCTTAGTTACTATTAATTATGGGTTAAATGGTAAATTGTTTTTTGGTTGCAGAATGTTATAGTACTATGAAGGTGGTGTACATTTTTATTTTTTGTAGTGCACAAAGTGTGTTGTAGTACACACAAAAATAGCCACTAAGCACCAACATATTCAGTCTCAAACTAAGGAGTATTAAAATGTTTTACCCTTAAGTGAACCGTGAATTGCTTTGCCCCCACGCTATATATGGATATACATACCAGATATAAATTATTTTTATTTCAAATAAAATTAAAAATTATTAGATTTAAAAAAAAATCTAAATAGTAAAGAATCTATATTTTAAATTTCAATAAACAATATGTTTTCTGTCCAATCTAATTTACTAGATATTTTTGCATTGATATTTTCATTTTTTAACCCATTCGTCAGTTCTCTTTCTATATACAAATATGGTCTAAACTTTAGTGGTGTGTAACAATTTCTTAATATGGCACATGGAAGAAAATGATCTTTTGCACGTTGCCAATGAAAGTGTTATAATTATTTGGACTTGGATTTATTTATAAAGGTTTGAATATACACTCGGATTACACGAATACATTCCAGTAATAAATACTAAAAATTAACTCGAGTTAAGACATTCGATAAGATAACATGCATTCAGTGGTGATCGAAGGAGGGAGGATGTAATATGTAATAGGGTAAATACCTCCCTTGAGCTTATCATGAAGAAATGTATTACATTGTGACTTGTGAGAAATACTAATTAATGTTTTTTTTTTTTTCATGAGCGTTACATATCGTTATAATACGAAAATAACGATAATAATGTACCCACTACCCACTACTCAAAAAAATTACTATAAACTGTCAATCGGGGCTTGGCATGACGATTTATTAGTTCATTACTCCCTCCCCCTTCCTCTTGATAAATTTCTGATCCGCCCCCTGTACGCGTTACAAATAAGT